TCTCTATTCCTGCTATAAGAGAAATCATCGGTATTTTTCCTTTTTTTTTCTGGCTTATTTCACTAAGCATGATCTTTTCCAGCTCCATCCATGTTGCTGCAAAAGGCATGTGTTTCTTTCTTTCTTTCTTTTTTTTTTTTTTGGTTGCTGTGTAATATTCCATTGTGTATATTTACCACATCTTTTTAATCCAGTCATCCATTTTTGGGCATCTGGGCTGTTTCCATGTCTTTCCAATTGTGAATAAAGCAGTAATAAACATGGGGGTGCAGGTATCAATTTGAATCAGTGTTTTTGTGTCTTTTGGGTAGATACCTAGGAGTGGGATTGCTGGGTCATAGGGAAGCTCCATGTTTAGCTCCAAACAGGTTTCCATAGGGGTTGTACTAGTTTGCATTCCCACCAGCAATGCAGGAGAGTTCCTTTTTCTCCACATCCTCACCAACATTTGTTGTTGCTAGTTGTTTGAAGATGTGCCATTCTCACTGGGGTGAGGTGGTATCTCATTGTAATTTTAATTTGCATCTCCCTTATTTCGAGTGATGTTGAACATTTTTTCATATGCCTGTTGGCCATCTGCATTTCCTCTTTGGAGAAGTGTCTTTTTAGCTCTTCTGCCCATTTTTTTAATGCGGTTGTTTAATTTTGTTGAGTTTCATCAGTTCTGTTTATAACTTTGTGATCAATCCTTTATTGCTAGTTTTGTGTGAGAAGACTTTTTATTATAGCTTGAAGTTTGGGATTGTGATGCCTCTGTTCTCTTTCTTTTTAGTCATGAGAGTTTTGGCTATTCAAGGTTTTTTGTGGTTCCATATGAATCTCATCAATATTTGTTCTATTTCTTTGAGGAATGTAATTGAGACTTTTATTGGGATAGTGTTAAATCTGTATATCACTTTTAGTAGGATGGCCATTTTGATGATGTTAATTCTCCTGATCCATGAGCTGGGGATGTCTTTCCATTTCTTGATGTATTCTTGTATTTCTTTTAACAATGTTTTGTAGTTTTCTTTGTAAAGTTCTTTTACCTCTTTTGTTAGGTTGATTGCCAAGTGTTTGATTCTCTTTGTTTTATGATAATTGTAATAATTTTGTTTCAGTATTCTAATTTCTTTTTTTCTCTGGAGAAGCAATTACTATTCCTTTATATATATATATATATATATACATATATATGGATATATATATATATACACACACACATATATATAGTTTTCTTTCTGCTTATTTAAGAATTTCTATTTTTTCTTTGACCTTCTTTACATTTTACTACAATATACTTGCATATTAATTTATTTTGTATTTATTTAATGTCTATTCCCTGAAATGGAATTGTTGTATTGCAGACAATTTTCTTTTTCATCTTTCCCAGTGAATGTCAAATTGTTTTCAAGTGATTATTTCAAATCAAATTTCTGGGTTCGTACATCTTTATTTTATTATGTCTTAATTTTTACATGCTTATTATATAATACTTTGTTAGTAAATAAAAGAAGACTGCCTCTCAATGCCCCAAGTGAGAAAAGAAAATTTGAATTATATGTCAGTCAAATTACATATGAGAGGGAAGCAACTCATCTCAAGGTAATCAATATACCAAGGCTTTGTTTGTTTGTTTGTTTGTTTGTTTTAAACAAAACCTTTTGCACTGATTTTTGTAAGTTCCTTGAAAATAAGTTTTGTGGAAAGACACTTTTGCAATTTTTTTTATTCTAATAATTTCACTAACTGTGTTACAAATTAATTATATTCATTAGTTTGAAGCTTTGGTCAAAATTCCCTAAAATAATTTTTAGAAGTCCTGTTTGCTACTTTGCCTATTCATACATTTTGAATTCTTATGAATTCTACTGCTTTTTGTATCACAGTAATACTTTTCTTTCTTTCAAAGTGAAATAGCTTTTATCTGATTCTCAAGTTACCCTTTCCTCCCCCAGCCATTTTAAAT